CCATCTTCCGCTTTTGAGTCGCCATATCACTAGTGCTTTTCTACACTAAAAAAGCTGACCTATTGACTTTTCTCTCCCGCACTCGCAGTGAAGTTCAGCTGTAGCGTGGTTAAAGTGGCGGTGATATACCGCAAAGTCCCCGTGTCCGGTTCAGGCGGCGATCAATCGAGCATATACCGCTCTCGGTAGCGCCAGTTCTGGCGGTTTCTTGCGCCACATCCCGAATTCGAGTTCGGCGTAATATTTGAGGCGATTCGAGTGCCACCCGTCCGTCAAAATTTGCCTGGCCAGTTCGCGAGCTTTCCGTTCAGATGAGGCGAGGGTCATCACACCATGTATCATCCTAGCGTTATCCAACAATTCAAACTCTCTTCAAGCGAGCTCATCAGCTATTTTATTTCCTCCCAGTCTAGCGTGGTCCGAGATTCATTCCACTTTAACAGGTGCGGCTGCTCTGGCGGCAATTTTACAGAACTTTTGGATCCTCCACGATGATGAGACTTTTTTTCCTGTTAGTAAGGCCTGGACTTCCGCGGGATTGTCGAGCAGGATGTAGATGGCGCTGCGGCTAAGATCTCGCTTACTGGTAGTGATTGCTTCGAGAACAGCTAAAGCTCCATGAACCTCCGTGTCATAGACCTCCGCATTCATACTTTTACCTGAGCCACTTTGTTCAATTACCGTGCCAGTACCACTGAAAAAGGTCACAAAGGCCCATGATACCTTGTCGGTTGAAGCCCCTGAATAAACACTGTAAACGCAGAGACGTTCAGGTGGGAAGGCTGGTAGCCACTCTCTTATAAACTTAGCAGCTTCTTTCTTGCATATCCAATAAGGATTCAGCTGAGGGGGTACGGGAGGTCGGAGCAGTGGAGGAAGTTCAGCCTCTGGCAGAATTCGGTACATCCTCTGGGCCCTTGAATCATTAACTCTGTCGAGACCTAGTCTGCTTCTGTTGCATGTCTTTAGTCCGAGTCAGTGGTGAGCGCTGTCTGTGCTTTCCGTCGCTCGGAGTCGAAGCGGGTGGTAGACATCTAGTCTTCGGATTCGTGCGGTAGTCTTGAGCCTGTGTTCCTCGAGCAAAATGTGTACAGGTGGAATGTCAGTCTCTCTTCTCAGGGCTATGATATGCATTATTCGCTAGGTTGGTAGAGCTACGCGGATTCCGAAGGTAAAAGTTATGTCGATTACTTTGCAATATCTTATAGGAATTTTGCGCAACACCTCGATACGTTTCCCTGGTTGGTCCAGGGCACCAGAATTCCGCTGCATCCATCGTGATTGGCAGAAACACCGTGCAAATAACTGTGGTAAGTAGGTCGGGACTTTGTCCTTGAGTACACCAAGTGAGTCGTCGGAAGTGTTGTACTAGCCGCACTGCCCTGCAGGTCTGCTTAGCGACGTGGCTTTCGAAGGTGAGGCCGCGGACCAGGTACACTCCGAGCCACCGGATGTCGTCAGATGCTTGTACGTCACGAGTACCTACCCTCATGGGCGGAAGTTCATGTCCCCTAGCTCTAGGACCGAGAAAGTAGACTACTTCGACCTTATCTTGGTCAAAGGAGACGGCGTTATTAGCAGTCCACCTGAGAACTCCATCGAGCTCTCGCTGGATAGCTGCTGCAGCTTCATTTGGGGTTGAGCCGGTGCCGAGGATATCAATGTCATCTGCATAGCCAAATCTCCAACTATTGCCTCCTACAACTTCAGCTATGTACAGGAGAAAAAGTATTGGGGAAAAGGGCGATCCTTGTGGGACCCCGCATTCGAGGAATATCGAACCTGTTACTCCGTTCTCGTGCCTGACGTGGGTAGATCGTCCTTTGAGAAAGGATTTTATCTAGTAGATGGATGCATCCGGCCAGCCCATTCTCTTCGTCCTTTGGAGCAGCCGTCCATGAATGACAGCGTCGAAAGCCCCTCTGCACGTCCAAAGTGACGAGGACTGCTATCTTCTTTCTTTGCATCGCATGTTCCACATCGTTAATGATACATGAGACGAGGTCGTTAGCAGACCTGCCGGACAGTACTCCAAATAGTTGCTGCGGAATTGCCTTGTAAGAGAGACGGCTGTATGAGCCATTCGCCATGCGACTAGCCTCTTAAGACCTTTGCCGAGGGAGGAGAGTAATGCGATGGGCCTCCATCTTTTAGCTGTGCTCAGATCACGGCCGGGGTTGAGGAGAAGGATTACTTCCGCTAGCTTGAATGCTTTTGGAAAGTGATTCAGTCACAGTGAGCCCTCAAAAAGTGCCTTCACTGTGTGATCAATTAACGGACAGGCTGTCCTAAGAAGACGAACAGAAATTGCGTCTGCTGTAGAAGCTTTATTTTGGTAGAGCGTTGTGACCCACTTGGCTTCCTCGTCCGTAATGCTTGAAGCTCATCATAGGTTTCCGCGTCTTGGCTCGAGGTTCTCAGTATCGACATCGTTTTGGCTGGTGAGCCGGCCGAGAAGGTTGCGTAGTAGAAGTGCAAGCTTTCCTGAGTCTTAAAAAAATCACCGGGAGTTTGGAGTGTTGGAGCAGCGGATGTAGGTTGCGGCTTTGCCCAACGTGTCATCCGATACATGTCGACGTCGGTTGTGGCTTCGGAGAGCTTTCGCCGCCAGTATTGGCGTTTCGCACTTTTGACTATGCGACCGAAATCCTTTCTGCTCTCTTCGTCCCTGAATATCTTGTATTTGCGTTTGGCCTCTAGGCACCCTAACATCCACCAAGGTGCTGTTCTAACCTTCTTTGCACTCTCATGTCTTCCGGTGTCCCTAATTGCGTCGCTCATGGTTTGGGCCAGCTTATCAGCAAGGCTGTCTACCTCACTTATTGAAACCGTTGGCTGTAGCCCTATTCTATTAGCCCACCTACCTAGCACCTTAGCAAAGTCTTTGATAGCGTCGTCTGTCACTTGGGAAAGCTGGATGGTTTTAATAACAGCTCTAGCTTTCGAGTTCGAGCGGGAGACGTCCCCTGCAAGAGTTCTGTGGTCCGATGTTGATTCAAGCTCTGTCGAGATATTTTCGAGGGTTCCGCATTAGACCACACTAAGTCGAGCGTGTTTTCAAGATCGTGTGTTGGAACGCCGGTTCTGGAAGATAGGTCCGTACAATGTTCAAACATCTATTCGGTGAGCACCTGGCCGTCGCCGTGTAGCCTATTAGCCATTGGCTGCCAGTCAGGGTGAACGGAATTGAAGTCTCCACCAATAACTGTAGGCCCAGATGGAGCCTGTTGGAAATCTAGACTTAGTATGTATGAAGGTTTATATTTCTAGGTATGATCATCAAGATTAATTGAATTGATTCGATTGAATATGATTAAGCTCATTTAGGCGAGATAAGTTTCAGTGGCATCTGGAATACAGTGGCTAGGAAATGCTATCTTGAGATAATTGAGTGACTGTTTGTTGCTAGATCACTGGGAGTTCTGGATCTCTAAGGCCTCGGGGATCTGTATTCAAGGATAGACTTATTTGTATATGTTAAACTAAGTTAACGGAGTATTATATATTATTACTTCAAATTGAGAAGAGAGATCGATATCCTATACAACTATCAATAAATTCTTGTCCGAAATTGTACACTTGTTCTTCGAGATATTTCCTCCTAGAAATCCTTGACAACTTCTAACATCGAGAAGTCGTCAAATGGAGATATGCTTGAGGTTGCTTTCGACTTCGATTCAGATGCGGTTCTTTTTGGCTATCCCACATATGCAGAGCATACTGAGCGATTACACCGGCATCACTGGAAAGTCAATAATTCGTCTTTGCCGGCTCCTAGGTTCGTATAGAACGCCGCGTACAGGTTTTCAGTCTTTCGCCTCCGATGGTAATACACAGCAAAGTCTACGTGGTCCACACTAACCATAGCAAACGGATGTTTTTTTTAAATCATTCATGTGTATTCAGCTATCTAGCTATGACAGATAACCGGTGCTATGTATACATGTAGGATGACTCTTTTGACGTTAGAGACACTCATACTCTGGATTTCATTCGCAAATACCACTTTGAGGTATGTCCGCTTACACAAACAGTCGACCCTCCTCCGTAAGTACCCACCAAAGGGAATTTTGAAACCTTTGGTTGTCCAAGCATGCCTTCATCATCTATGCATACCAGCGCCGCGAGAAATGTGGTTGTGTTTTGCCGGATTTGAACCAGCGATCTACTGTCTCAAGTGGATATGTGTCCAAGCTATCTAGACTCTACTTGGCAGACCGGTCAAGGCGATGTACCACCGCACCATCCAACCATGGCGATGTTTATAGTGTCGCCCGCACTCTCGCAACCGAAGACTTGGCACGCACAAAGCTCAATTTGTAAAGACTCCTTGCCAAATCTCAAAATTCCACGCCCGTTACGACTGTATCCATCCTTCTCATCATCTTGTGAACTTATCCTGAATCCTCTCACGCCCATCCCAATGAACAGTCTTCCAGAATTGTGCTCCACGCTTCGCTTCCTCCGTCGGGTGTAAATAACGGCGTGGGCGTGTATTTGGTGACCAGCTGGGGCCAGAGAAAGTCGACGAGAGGTGTGATCATTGGAATGAGGATGTACTAGGTCGTACTCGTAAACTTGATGAAGCTTAGTTGAGAATCGGACTCTTTGGGAGTGAAAGATTGACATGGTGGAGTATTTTGAATTTTTGCCTCGTGGGCCAACTTCTTTGATATTGCGAAATTTGACTGAACTTGGCTCTGGGACAATATTTCACTTCCAGGTTCATAGAGGACACCGCGTACAGGTGTTCAGTCTTGCCCTCCACGCACAAAGCTCAATTTGTAAGCAAACCGATGGAACGCGACTACAATCTACAATTTGATGCACGGTCGTTAATAATTTGGCCTGAGGACAACAAAAATTGAAGTTGGCCATTGGTGAAAACTTCTAAATCGCTTCCTTGCTCAGGCTGATGACTCTTATTAACCAAGTATCTCAACCCAATGTTAATTGTTTTTATACCCATCCATAAGCTAATATTTTGATTAAAAAACAACATGTCCCAGTCAACACTCGCTGATTACTCTATCTTAAATTTAATCATTCCAGCCACCACTTCATTCCCCCGGCAAACAACGCACACAATATATGTGCGTCCGCATGAACCGAAAATTCAGAGCGAGGATGATTCACGAAGCCTATTCCTCGTGAATCTTCCTATAGACAGTACTCAATCGCATCTTCGAGCCGTTTTCGCATCACTCGTTGGAGCCGGCCGGTTTGAGTCGATTTTATTTGAAACTAAAGAGAAAAAGAGAACTATTAATAGCGAACCCGCTTCCACCAATACGAACGCCAAGAAGCGCAAATGGACGAACAATGTCGAATCTACCGATGTGGAAGAGCTGCCTAAAACTTGGGATAGAGAATTGAGAAAGAGCGGGGCGTCAGCCGTCGTACTGTTAGTTGACGAGAAAAGTGTAGAGTATACTCTCAAGAAAATTCAGAAGTTGCATAAGAAGCAAAAATTGATGCAAACACCCGAAAAAGTTTGGCCAATATGGGGCGAAGGAGTATCATCTAATATTCCACCGCTTGGCAGTGCCCGTTACCTCTCACATCATTCATTGCGATACCCAGCTCACAACGAAATTCAGCAAAATGTGGATAACTTCATGACAGAATTTAACGCCCGCGAGGAGGCACGGCATAGACTGAATAAGAAGAATCGGAATGAACCAGATGACGATGGATTTGTGACAGTATCGCGAGGCGGAAGAACTGGCCCGGCAAGGAAAGAAGTCGTTGAGGAGAGAATGGCTATACTACAGGAGCGGGAGAAAAAGAAGGCTGAAGCAATGGAGAAGACAGGCTTTTACCGTTTTCAGGGTCGAGAAAAAAGAAAAAAAGAAGCTGAAGATCTTGTTCACCGCTTTCAAGAAGATCAGAAAAAGGTTCAAGCTCTTCGCCACAAGAAGGGCCAGTCTGGCTTCAAACCTGAAGAATGATAAATTTTCATGTTTTTAATGAACAATCTTCGGTCAGCTCACTAAACCCCGATTATTTCAGATATAACTCTAAATGGTATGTCCTTTTCTTTGTTCAACTTTTGACCCCCGTCAACCTCGCATGATGAACGAGCGGGGCCATATGAATTTGCTCCTTCCATACTGAATACAGGACAATCCCAGTAATCTAGTTTGCGGAGAAAAGAGCAGAATAGGCTTTCAAAAACCGCATTACAAAATCTTCTCAACTCTTCTGAAATCTTCGAGACACGCAAAATTCAGTTCTAGTTTTAAACTAACACTCAATATATTCTGCTAACTTCTGTATTAAGTTCTAGGTTAGGACATGTTAGTCACCAGCTTCACGATATGCTTGGGCAAATAATCTAGCCAACCTCAATAAATATCTCGTCGTAATTGGAATATATCAACAATATATCCCGCGTCAGTGTATCCATTGGTATTTCTCAGTGGTAATTAACGGGTAAAAATACGCCGTATTTTAATAACTCACGTTGATACTTAGGATTTTGATGGATAAACTAGATTGATGTTGTGCTGGTCATAGCCAAGATCACCATACACAAGGGTGATAACCACTGGAAGCGAATGAAAAACTTCCTAAGTGATTCCATGACGAGTAGACGAATAACAGAGCACTGTATGGAAAGTATATATAGATTATACAACTAGATTGAGGACACTATAATATTCCGTGATTGTTGGAAAGTATTTATACTTGGTGTGCACTATATGCGTTGCACCTCCATTGCTGAGAAATTCTTGGGGTCTTCAAGACTGCTCCTATTCTTCCCATGGAAGTAGAATCATGCCTACTACCACCCCGTATCCGACTTAAGGCTAATACTAGCAAATTCGCTCTGAGGATGATGAAGTTATCAACACGTCACCCAGTAAACCAAGAAATTCACAGTGAAAAGGATTTTGTACTTCCAAAACCAACTCAGATTAGTAGAATAAAGTACAGCCTAGAAAAAATCATGGATGAACATATTACTGAAAAAATTAAACCTCTAGCTTTTCAACCATGGGTCTCACCCCCTCAATACATAATAAATATGAATAAAGATTCAGCTGAGTTGATAGCTGAACAGCACAAGGCAAGAGTTGAAATTGAGGACTGGCAAAATGTGACCTACATCTATACTGATGCCTCTCTCTACCATGAGAGCACTGGAGTGGGCATATCTTGGGTGGCCACTGATAATTATGGCAGACTCAATCATACTTTCAAACCAAATATAGGGGATAAAGTTTTGGTATACAATGGTGAGTTGGAAGCACTAACTCAGGCAATTGAATATGCTAGCAAAAGGGCTGAAAATGGTCATCACTTTGAAATATACTCCGACAACCAGGCAGCAATACTTCGGCTGGCCAACCCATCTGATAATCCCGGACAGTCTTGCCAAATAAGGGCTATGATAGCATCTGAAAGAATCATGACCAAAAATGCAACTTTATCATTAAACTGGATCCCAGGACATTCTGGTATCAAGGGTAATGAAGTAGCAGATAAACTAGCAAAAGAAGCATCTAGAATGCTCCCTGAAACAATGGAAACAAGTTTTGCCATGATGGGATCAAGATTAAAAAGTGAAATTCACCTTCAATGGATAGAATATCTCAGACAGAACGACCTTAGGTTACAACTGAATCCATTATCATATAGGAAAATTTTCAATTGGAAAATCAGCCCGAAAATCCATGTGCCTAATGGAACAAAAAGAAAAACATTTAGTGCCTACTTCCAACTCAAACTAGGACATGGCTATAATAAAGCATATTTATATCAACATGGATTAAGTACAGAGGACAAATGCAGCTGTGGCAAGCGACAAACACCAGAACACTTATTACTAAGCTGTAGTAATTATAAACATAAACAAAAAGAGATGAAAGAGAAGTTGAATGGAAATCCCCTGAGCTTGAAGTTGCTACTCCACACTAAAAGAGGAGCTGAAGCAACCATTGAATATATAAATAGCACTGAAATATCTACTCGGGTATGGCACCTTGGTAGTAGCAAGACAAACTCTGGGGTGGAGTAATATAAATTGAAAGAAGTGGGACACTTTACTCCTCAAGCAGAAGTTGGCGCTGGGAAAATACAGGGTCAAAAATTAAAAAAAATATAATATAATTTAAATACTATACTATACAGGACTTGTTCCTCACCATCTACAAGAAAATATTGGGAATTAAAATGGTTGAATTTATCGAAATTTGTATGTCTCTTTCATTTAGAAGCTAGAAGTCCTCTGTAGTCGTAGACTCAGATAGGACTATAATAAAGATCTAATCTAATCTAATCTAATCCATTGCTGAGTCACTGTCTTGATGACTCAGCTAATACAACGAACTCTACGTTCGGAATGTTCTTAGATAAGGACACCAGACTTATTACACACCTCACTTTTGTACCCTTCGTCTTGCATTAAATTAACTCTAGGTATGCGAACATTTAGGCCTATTGACAGTGATACTATTTTGGGACAATAAAGCGAGAATCTATCTATCTCAGATCTGAACACATGAAGCATTTTCTACCTCTTTAACATAGATATTTCTGATTGTGAAGAAACCAGAAGTTCATATAGATTTATCATAGATCATTTCGGAACCCTCAGCATATAAATCCTCTGTAATTTGATATCTTTAAAACGATTGATTGAGCTTATAGCTGAGCGAGACTTGTGATATTGGACAGGGCAAAGGCATTTGTCTAAATTTTAAACACTTGAATCTTTGATGTGATGATGCTTCCGAATAAATTTACAACGCCCTTGCTTACCCTAGGCTAGTCACTCCTACATAAGCTGGTCTGAACTCCCAGTTAATGCCTCGCTGCCTTTTTATCTTTATGTGAGAAGTCAAACTAAATTCCATATTTTTGGCCATAACCGGGCTCAAATTTAGCGGAAGATTTATTCTAAACACCATCCAATTGAACAGACCATCAGGGTTCAGGAACAGGCGTGGACAAATATTTATCGCACCTCAAGTATCATCTGCAATCTTTATTTTTGGGCCGGAATGGGGGTGTAGCTGAGGCAGATCTTGATAAATGGATGCAAGGAAGGTGTTGATACATCATTCAAATGGTACAAGTAAGCACTCAAGTACACAATCTATCCACTAAATAATAACGGAATAAGTGTCATAGCTAGATAGGCTGCATACACATGATGATTTTGAAAAGAGAGTATAACTACTTGCACTCTCTCCGGCTCGCTACATCCTTGAGATCTCTGATTGGATCTTTAATTTATCATTTAACATGTATTGAGCTATCTGACTATGACACATAATTAGTGCTCTTTGTACATTGAAGATGACTCTTTTGATCACGTAGGCACTCATACTCTGGATTTCACTTGTAAATACCCTTGTTGGGTAGGCCTCATCCAGAAACAGTCGACCCTCTTAAGTACATATCAAAGTGAGCTTTGAAAACCTTTCATTATCCAAGCACGCCTTTGTCATTCACCCACACTTGCACCGCATGATATGTGTTGGAACAGTAGCCATGTGGACTCTAGTAATAGATGGAATATGTATTAACCTATTGTAATAGTAGTGCAACTTCTGTAATGTTCTCTTGGAATTCTTACATGACACCAAGAGTATTCGATCAGATAGATAGAATGAAGATTATTGTGAATATTATTGTATTGTTTATTGAATCTATCTTATTGCCCTTTGATTGCGAACGTATACCGTATTGTACCAATAATAAGTGGTTGTGTTTTGCTGCATTCGAAGCAGCGGGATGGGCGTCCAAGCTATACAGAATCTACTTGGGGGGCCGGCTCAGGGGACATACCACTGTGCCATCCATCACTTGCGATATTCAGAGTGCTGCCCGCACTTGTCTGATCAAATACAAACCTGCATAGTTACTACATCAGAATTCTTCATGTGTCTTCCAAAATTCTCAGATATTGCATTTTGTTAGAATTTAGAATAGTTGGGGCTATCAAGTAGGCCACGTTGTTAATATACACGCGACTACCAATTCTGTACTTGGTTTCAATTCGCAAGTTACTCGAATCAATGCGCTCTACAACCTCAATGACAGAGGGGTCATTATTTCCTTGATATATTTATTTGATTTCACTATGTTTCATTTATTCTTTCAGACACCCTTTGGGCCCATGTAGGTATATCTAGCTATATTATCTACAGAGGAGGAAACTGATTCGAAAAAAATTCCCAAAACTGTCTGTCTCATGTCTACTAGTTTTCCCGTGATTTTCGAGGGGAAGTTCGTTAACAGTGTTCATCCAGTGTGGATTCTCTCGTATTCTTGTCTTCATAGTTTAATCTTTTCGTCCATTGCTAGCGATGCTTCTCTTATAGACCGGAACCATTCAAAGCAGCAGTTAGTAAATACCCACTTTGTAATTCTCTCCATATGATCCGGGCTATTCATTACCGCTGCAAGGACCTATCTTTTGCCTTTCGAAGCACCTCTCCTCTCCCCATTGCTCATTGAGGACACGCCAAGACCAAATGTTTGACATCTTGAGACGGATATCAACACTGACATTTTGGATTAATCACTCCCAGAACTTTCATTGTATACAGATGAGAATTGAGATCGACGTACTTACTTCTTATCTGAACTGCAATACTGCTTTGGGCCCTGCTAAGATTTCGGTAGATAATTGAAGGCGTATTACTATAGGTAATCCTTTTTCTGTCTGTTATCTTATCTGTCACGATTTTTGCGGCTTTCTAATGTTTATGGTCTGGCGAAGCTCGATGACTAGATCGTTTCTCCTTCCCTTGACATGTTCATGAGTTTTTACACTCATGGAACGCCGCCGCCTTCACGGCAACTTTTTATCGACCTTTCTCATTATTCTTGCCACAGATTCTGGACTATTCTTCAATGTCTGGCTTTCGACTCTTGGCGTGCCTATTCTTAGTTCCTCTTGTGCCCTACTTGACCTTACTGCATGTGTATAGTATCA